AGTATAGTCACCGGTTATTAGACTCACAGTTAATGGACTCATTCACCAATTGGACTCAAACATAGTACAGTAATAGATATCTGTTACAAGATTTGTTCAGTTTAGAATATTATTACAACTAAAGTCAATATTTTATTATATTGTAAAAATTGACTTACACACTCGACAATACGAAAAAAGCAACAATAGTTTTTTGTGTTCACAAATTTATTTTTAATTATCGAACAAAAACCATATAACATTTTTTAATTTTGAATATAATTTCAAAACGGAAACAATTTTGGAAACGGTTGCCGTTATATTATTATACAATTTTGTATGTTCAAAAAAAAGTTAGAACAAAAAAGAAAAAGCCGAAATTTGTAAAGTGAATATTATTCGATATAAGTAAAGAAAATTTAAATACAAAAAAAAAAGGCATCGGTCAAGACGACGCGATGTGGGGGGGTACGTGGTGGCGAGTTGGTGGTGCTGATGATGTATTGGTAACTGGTATATGGCCACTGGTCACCTCTACAACGTTCTCACGGGCTGTCCTGCGGGGCGGACGAGAGTCGCGGGCGAGTTTGCTCGAGACCTCCAAGACGACCATGGCAGCGGACGAAGCCCGGCCACGACGGCTGCGAGAGCGACGACGATTGGCGACGAGAGGCTAGTGCGCGATGTCGTGCGCTGCTTGACGGTACTGCGGGTGCTGAAGACGACTGCTTGTGCCGGCAACGACGGTGACCTGCAAAGCTCGGAGAGGCGAGCTGGCGACTACGATCTCGGTGCAGCTGCGGAATCGGCGGCGTTGCGACTCGGGATCGGACCACTGGGCGAAAAAGGGAGAAAATCTGCAGACAGCTTCGCGACGACGCGCCGCTGTCCTGATAGTCTCCGTGATTTTCGCCCTGGCGTCTCCGTCTGCCGCAGCCGATGGCCACGGAGCCGCGCACCGTCGAACCCGACGAAACGTTTCGTTTCCTCGAACCCGGCGCTGCTGACGTCCGTGGCGTTCCTAGCTATACCCTGTAATCATAGTCATCCGTCACTCACCCGCCGTGAGCTCTGAGGTTTCCGTCGCCGCAGTCACGCGAGTCGAGCAGCACTGCAGCGTTCGTCACTGAGCAGGTACCGTGTCGGGGACGGCGTCGTTGTCCGCGCCGGTACCGCTAACCTCCGTCGTCGTCGTGTCGTCGTCGCTCCCGGACCGAAGCAGCCGGGCGCCCGCCGCGCCGCCAGAGGGTCTCGCGTGTCTCGGCGACCTCGAGCTCGCAACGTCCGCGATCCCGTCGCGCTGCCGCAGGATGGCCGGAGAACGTGTATCGGCGACTTACCGCCGGTCACCACCTGAATGTGCACTGCCGCGTACCTATTACCTCGAAACCCCACACGTCGCCTCGTCTTGTCCGCTGCCCTCGGCCAGGGGGGAAACTTTTGGACGGTTTCACTTCGGGGGACAACAACAGCGCAACACGCGTGCGGCTCTCGTCAGGCCTCTCCACGCAGAGGACACCAGTCTCGCCGTTGCACTGCGCGGAGCTGCACGTGTTTCTGCCTTGACCCCCGGGTCCAGCCAACCAATCAAGATCCCGATACTATTTCTGACTTCCAGTCCTCTGGCCGGTGTGGCGCCCACCGCCTCGCCATCCAGCTCCTTTTTCGCGGCTTCCTGCACCGGAGGCGCGACCACTTCAACGATCGGTTCAACCGGTTCTGCCATTTTGTCAGATTTGTCGACCGGTTGAAAGACGTTGGACGGGACGTAGCCGTCCCCCGCGAAGCGCGTCGCATACGATAAAAGTCCTTCCAGGTCTCCGATGGTAGGCTCTTGGTCGATGTCGTCTATTCGTTTAAGTTCTTCTTCCATAATCTCGTACTCGACGTTGCTTATTATTTTTCCCAAGATTTGCATGATAGTTGTTTCCATTTCCTTTTCTTCGATATGCGATGCAGCCATTTTTTCGTTCAGGTTTTTTTTTTGTCCGCGTAAGGTTAGGTCAGATTATATACTCAGATGAGCTCAGAGTTGCAAATGTGCCGATTTCGGTATTTATTCCTGGGCCGTCGACGATGATTTTAAACAAACATCGTTTATTAGTAGCCAGCATATTATTATATTAATCGACGGCCGGCATCAGCTGGATTTCGGGCCCGTTAATTTTTCCAAATGCCATTATTACGACTATTATTGGTATACCGACTCTAACTGTATATACTTACGCAGAGGTACACTATAATAATTGTATTATAATATTTTAACGAGGATTTATATGTCGATCTGCATTATATTACTATACTGTCGTATATATAATATATATACTCGCTTTATACTTTTGTAGGTAGCTATAAGATTTTTAGATTCAGAACGGAACGCGACCAATGCGTATTGCGATTTTACAATTATTGTTTTTTATGTATGTGTTGGGGTGTACCTATATTGCGTTTTATACAGTGCCGTAAAAACCGGGTGTGCAGAGTGTGTACCACACACAGGCCTCGGGCCCCATAATATATTGAAGGGCCTCAGAAGATCTAAAGACTAATATTAAACTAATATAAAATTATTAAAATATATAAATTATTTATTATTTATTTTTAACCTAGTAAATTACTAGGTTTATATGATGGCGTTAAAACGGTTTATACTCAAACCGTTTTGAAAGTTAAAACGCTAGCGCTATGTAGTTTAAGAATTTAAAACCGTTTTATATGTTTTGTTATGCTGTATTTAATTATTTTTGATTACCTATCGCATTCCGTTATAATTACGTTTACAAACATGTATCGTTTTTTGTAAAAAATAAAACGTTATAATCAATAATCATAATGTTATTATAACGTTTGCAAGCTCTGCCATATCCATAAAATATTGCAATTTTTCAACCACTTCAAGATTGAAATTCCCAACTTACCTATTTAAATCACAATAAATTATATTTTCAATTAGGCTGAATTGTATTGTTAATTTATTTATTGTACAACCTAATTTTTTTATGGTCTATAGAACTGGCCCTTCTGAATACAAAAAAATCGGCAGAATTGTCGACCGGTTTTTTTGTCTGCTGACTTTAAAAATTGCAAAAAAAGTTTTTGAGTTGTGTATTGAAAAAGATAATAAGGGGCCTCAATATTTTGGTTTGCACACAGGCCTCAAGTAGCCTAGTTACGGCACTGCAAACATTCTTATCCCAATTTACATGTAGGTATACTTAAACATAGGAAAATATTTTTCAGTTTAGTTCACACCCTGGTTAGTGGTTAATGGGATAAATGTATATTTTTAAGGGCATATTTCCTCAATTATCATCCCATTTTCAATATTTTTTCGCTTGTATTTTGAAGTTTAACATTACTTCCTCGACCTATCACATTAAAAAGTATTAAGGATCTAAAAATATTATTTTTACATCATTCGAAGTGCCTCACAGTTAAGCGTACGTGAAAAATATAAACGTACTTATGTAGTATAATTATAATATTATTGTATTTATCAATTTTAGATCAGGCAATTTGCTTTTTTTTTATCCTCCCTTCCCATCATTCTAAATTCCTGAGGTCATCTCTGCGTGTAACTATAATTTATTTATGACTTGATCTATATGCTGATAGTGAAAAGTGCACTAATGCATAAAACAATAATATACAAAAGACATAGGTAATACAATGTTTAAATATGTATTTTATTTGCTAGGTATTAAAAATAAATTCGTTACCACTGAACTTATTGCCGTGAACGAGTTAGTCTCACTTCTAATAAATAAACTTGGTGTGTTCGGGTAAAACATAAGAGCAGAGCATATGACAGTAATCGCCCAAATAGTTTTGAGTTTTTCACGAACAAAATATTATTTTTTTTCTATTTACAGCAGTTAATTTAGTAAGTATTTTTTCATTGTTTACACAAATCAAAACTATATTTATCGTCATGACTTCTCTTGAATATTTTGTACGCGTGTAAGAGTTCATGTTTTTCAACTTATTTTCAAACTGTTGTTGTAAATTGCAAGATTCCAAATTATTGCCATTGATTATATTATATTGCTTTGTTTTCTTATAAATTATTATGATTATTTTCGATCTGATCGTCGTGAGGTTAGGTTAGGTTGGGTGAATTGAAATTTGTAGTTGTTGGCTAAGAGGCCACAGAAAAAAGGTAAATTATCTCATGTGAAATAAACCAAATAAAATTAATGTAAAAGTTGGGCTCTCTAAATTGGTAACAAAGTGAAAACTCTAATTTCCCTCGGGTGTGGCTGGAGTTCTTTCGTCCAATCGTCCCCACCTAAAAGTTCAAATTATTTATTCAAATTTTTCTCGCTCACCACATTCATTCAAAATATTTCGTCTTTCAAACCTATTTTTTAATTTCCATATAAGGATCCCCAAATGTGAGTCCAAATATCCCCCCCCCTAGACCAGTTTATTTGAAAATGATATAGTTATTTTGTAAAGGTAGGTAAATATTTACAAATTAATTTTTTTAATTTTTAAATTCTTTCCTATTCCTATATAAAAATAATAAGATTTCAAGCAATATTCACTTCCCCATCATGTGTCTTCAAACACTGACATTTTTTTTTTACCTGAACACTTGGAACTAGATGCACTCAAGTATTATAGAACTTGCCTTGTGATATATGATTTTCCAATTCAAGGTTAGGTTAGGTTATAATTCTAGCACGCTTTCTGTTAAACAAATAAAAATGTCAACGAATTTTACAGTAAGTTTTTTTATTAACTAAACAAAAAAAAATGTCAAAAACTGTTGGAACAATAAAAGCGTTTTAGGAATACTATTAAGCACACATAATAATAATAAAAAAAAATGAATACCATTTGGCTTCATATAAAATTATATAAATACAAGTATACAACATACAAATCAATAGAGCAAAATAGAAAATAAATAAACTTATCTAGTAGAAAAAAATTAATGCTCTATCCTATACAGTATACACAATAAATTGTTATTCATTTTCAATATATGTAATATTTACATCAACATTTGGATTAGGTCACGTTCCTCCCAATGAATACGTGTTTTTGTTAAATTCATAACCAGGGTTTTTTATTCTCATTCTTAAAGCTTCACACCTGAAATGTTATATACAAAATTGGATTTTAATTTATTTGTTATTCAATAACCAATAAGTCAATGTAAAATTACCCGCAAGTGTTATAGTCAAATGCAAATCCTGAAGTACATTCTTTTATTTCACGACATTGGCACGTGCAAGTCGCTGAGTTCCATAGCTTTAAACTGTATTCGTCGTTGCACTTATCACGGTCTTCTTCATTGCTACACGTACAACGACATTCGTTGGGGTAATACGTTTGCAGAGGTGTGCAATTCTGTTGACAAAATAAAACAATATATATTATATGGTACTTTGAACAACCGTTTTCAAAATATGGAAAAAAGTAAGAAATGTTATTAGTCGCACTTCTGGTTTAACAACGCATCCACACTTGCATTTCAAGTGTTGATCAATTGACACCGTTTTTCGACCTTTGAATTGTAGTTTCCCATCGTCGTTATACTGTGAGACCAATACCTATAAAATAATATAATACGACGACAAATCAATAACAGTCATATCGAAAGAAAAAATAAAATAATTTTAGTTTTATTGCATACTTCGAAGTTGAGGGTTTCGACTTTGGTCGGTTGACATCCCAATAAGTCGTGGGCGCAACAACCTCCACATCGGTTCACCCGAGTGCACGTTGGATAATAATACAAGCTTTGATCGTCAGTATCTTTAAGGCTGACGGTTTGAGATTCAACAGAACAACCGGCTGGCTTAGGCGTCAACGTTGCTTCTAAATAAACAAATTATTTATTATACTTTTTATGTGATTGAATTCCTATAAATATTATTTTAAATTTTATTATTCAAGCAGTATACATACTTCTTTCTACATTTAGCTCAGTTCGGCCTAGAACAAAATAACAATTACATTATAGTTTGTTATAAATAATTGATTTACCTATACAGCTAAAGTATAGTAATGGTAATAATATGCTATATGTCTACATCTAAGATGTTATGTGATTATTAGTTATAATTTATAAATAATAAAAATGAATTACAATTATTGTAAACGCATGTATTATCATGTAAATATTCATCAGACTCAGACATGTTAATTGTTGTTTATTAAAATATTGTATATTAAAATACAAATCATATCAATCAGGGCTGTCGTATTATAATCCAAAATGGAATTAAACTAAAAACGTCTATAGTTCATTCCTTCTAACACAATAGTATCTGCTCAAAATTAACCAACACAATTTCTATCAGGCATTATTAATAGATTACCCGATAATCTAAACAGTTTTGATTTCAGTTAATGTAGACAAAATTTAAAACTCTTTGATTCTTAGATGATTTTCTAGTCAGAAAAATGTTACATCAAAAGTGAAAAAAATATATACCAAATTTTGTAGGGAAAAATGTTAATCATTTTGAACTATCTGATAACAATATACTGTCAGAACTTATCAAATAACGTGAAAATCTAAACTTTACCTATACAATTTAATGAGATAATAATAACGATGTCATTTACCGACATTATATACCCGACAATCGCTGTCATTCAGCCATATTTTCCTATTTTTTTTTTTAAAAATCTGTTAATCCACCCAAATATATAAATAGCAACATAAGCTATTTTGAAGAAAAAAAATTGATATAACTTATTACAAATTGCCATTTTTGTATTCATCTTAATGTACACATCTGACTAATACTTGGATATTATACTGAATGTCTGAAAGTCAGTATTTGGAATATATACTTTTTTATATATTCAGTACACTTTGGAGTTTAGGAATACCATAATTGTAATAAGAAAAATTCGTAGGTATTCAGAATATTATTTGTGTAAGTAGATAAGTATTCGAATATTCATTCAAAACTCTTTCAACAAATATTTTACTCAAGTGTTTAGTGTAAGTATTTAAATGAAGTGATTAATATAGATCAATGACACTTTTGTTTAAATATGTAGTTTTTAATCTAATTATCTTAGAACGTTATATTTTTCATATCACTCATTTTACCTATCGTATTGTTACATTCTCAACTACAGAGTCATTACGTCCTATTCGTTAATAGCAAAATAAAATGAGTATACAATGCATGTTTTATATTAAATCAGTTTTTTTTTAAATTAAGTGTATTGATTTGATTTTATAAATATATTTAAATAGTTCATTGACTTACTTTGAAAACCTGTCGTAGCGAAAAGAGTTTGGGCTTCATTTGTATTTATGTCCGGCATGAATTTAGAGAACAATTCTGACACATTCTTCAGCTGATTCAGTTCCAATATGAGATTCAGGGGAATCTGAAACATAAAACTTGTTAAACATTTTACTTTTTTGTTGGGTGGATATTAACTATTAAGTGGTGTCAAATGTGGCAACTTAAAATTACTACCTAAAACTCACACGCAGAATAAGCTCATATTTACACGATTCAGACTTCAGATGCAAATCATTAATCAGTAGTTATTAATTTATTATAATGTATATTTGCTTTTATCGATATTGAATTAATTTTTAAAAAAATGTATAAAATATTCAAAATATTCTATTTTATTAGTTTCAGCCTTTATGTTATTCTTATTTTTTTACATAGGTACAAATTATTTACACTCAATTAAGTCGATACCTATTGATTATTGAATATGGCTATACCTATATAGGTCCTAAGAAAATAATTAAATTCGCTATAGCAAAAGTACATAAACAATATCAACGGAGATGAGTTATTTAGAAAACAAAACCTATGAATTACCTCATTAAAAATATAACAAAACATAACTATTTTTTGTATTCTGTAACTTAATCAAGGTCAGCTATGTAAACATTAAAATACCATGATATATTACAACTGTGCATAGGTACCTACGTATGTAATGAATTTACCAACACATACGTCACATGAGTCACGTTGACACGAAAGTACATTATTTATGTAATTTTTATTTTTAGTAGTATCATTTTCTTTTTAAGTTCAAAACAATCATACCATAATATGTTTACCACTATAGTATATTATAATCACGTGATATAATGATTCTTTATTGTTAAATATCTATTGAGTGATGGATAGGTAGGTACCGACTAATTAATTTGATATGACCTCAAAAATCTGCTTCCAGTAAAAACACAACATGGCCGCATGTGCAATATTAATTATTTTATATTTGAGTTTTTAATTTACACTAATATTTTATATTCTTGCGTAAATATGTCTTCGTGAAATTAATATTAATATCTAGTTAAAGTTTATAAATTATAATTCATAGCAAGTGCGACTACTGACTGAATATGTTCGAAGTGTATTATATAAATAATAATAATTATTGTATAAATACGTTAGTATTATAAATAAGTATACTATAATATGATAAATTAGAATTATGTAATAGTTATATACTTATACGAGAACATTGAAATATAACTAATGGGTATATCTTATAAATAATGTATCAAATTTTAAACTAAAAACTAGGTAGATAAGTAACATTATGGTAGATTAGTTCATAATGTGCAGGGTACCTATATATACTATACGTATAATATCTTCAATAGAAACTAAAAGATTTTTTTAATTTATTGACTACATTTCTTAAAATAAATAATACTTAATTAATCTAAACTGGAGCAAATACAAATAAAGTTATAAAAATAGTATTTATTTGAATATATTATAAGCATTGTGTTTAGGCTTTTATGTTTCTAAAGATTTTTCTCGATCAAATTTTTTGAATTTATTGTTGTAAAAATCACATGAAAATACCTATGTCAATCATAAACACTTATATGTATAAATTATATTTGATCTATTTGGTTATGGCTTTTTACGTTGAAAATTATGTATTGATGACAGTTTATCTACTTAAATATTTATTTAATTGAATAAAGTATTAGAATTTAGAAGTTTAAAGTATTTACATCCGCAGACATTATCTAATAATTGATAGTTACCAAGACCCTGAGGTTTTTTTGAAATAGCTATGAATCTAAGATGTCGCCAGTATATTCTTGTAAGTTATATGAGTCATTATGTAAAAATGTCAGTGTTTGATAAGGAAAACCACCATCATCCGTAAAAATGTTACAATTATGTTCTCGTTAGTCATGTACTCATGTATCTAGGTACTTGTAGCTCTCAATAGGTAATAATAATAATAATATAGTAGTTATTAGTTAATTTTCAATGAAAATATTATATTGAGTTACAAGTTGGTAATCGCTGAGACACTGAGTAATAAGTGTCAACACATCACATAGTTCAACGTTGCACCACCGAGAAAGTATGTATTTTATCAATAAACAAAGTAAAATACGTCAGTAGTTATAGGTAATAAGTAACTACCTGAGAATTAGTTAAATCCGCAATTATTGGTTTTTCCTTAATAGTGAATATTTAATTAGGTAGTTTTAAATTTGGCCAATGGCCATGGTGATAAAAATGGTTTGACAAGACATAAAATAAATAAGTTAACGCCGGATAACTTAAAGTACATTATAATATAATAATATACCTAAATCTATAATTTCGATTAATGCCAGCTGATTTAAATAACGAGTAATTTAGATGTATTTTAAAATGGTTATAGAACTTTTAAACTCGTACATTATAATGTATACTCACGTAGTTATATGTATGATGAATAACTTTAATATTAGTCTTTTTGCCATATTATTAACTGTAATTTATACTTCCTTTACCGAATGTATTGATTCCGTATTGTTCTTAAAATACAATAATTATACTTAGGTGCCTAAAACTTGCGTATTGTATAATATAATAGGGTGGTACTGTGCTAACTGCCGCCTGCCGGTAACAGAATACGTGACGAAAATATAATTGAAAGAAATTTTACAATTATTCTTTTGATACAATAATCACGTTTTAAAATCTTAAAATCTAGCACGTTCGAAGAGAGTTTTTGATTACTTTTGTTATAATATTATAGTACCTATGCAGTGGTGGTAAAACACTTTTTAATTATTTAAGTAATTCAATCATGATATAATACCTTGCAGATAGGTACTGCACATTTAGATGTGAGCATAGCTCTAAAAAACCTTATATCACTCATTATATCCACGTCTTTTGTATTATTATGCAAAATAAAATCGTTTAAAAGTGTGTAATTAATAGACAATATAGTAGTACCTACTCGAAAAGTTATTCATAATACTTACGGAAAATATGTTCTGTAAGAACAACCTCCTAACATGGTAATTTCATTTAAATGGCAATTGCCAATTTGTAATCCGAAATTTATTATTTTCTTGTTCGAAGACGCATACGATATTTATACAGATAGCTTTTTTAAATCTACAATTTTAATTTTAAATTGTATAATTTACATGTAATTATAATAATTATTTTAACCAACTAGAATAAGTTGCTTACCTATATTTAGAATGTTATAATTAAGTTCAAAATTAAGAAAATAACAAATAGTATTTTAATACATTGATCTCAATTTATTTGTCAATGAAAATGTAAGATTAATAGAATATTTTAGAATCTGAGCGACTGAGCTAAGCGATGAATGAATTTGTTTTACAATGACATGTGTGTGTTGTTTTTTTTTAGTTTATTATTTTAAGTTCTGTCCAAGTTTCGTTATCTCTGTTAAAAAAATCTAAAAAAAAAAAAATAAAAACAACGTCAATGCAGGAATAAATTCACAATACCATTTTTTGACAAAATAGTTTATATTATTTTATTATATATAAACTGTGAATAACAGTAGATATTTGAAATTATTATCAATTATTTATATTAGTATTTTCTAGATATGATGTAGCTTACTAAATATTTTGGGTCATTTTTCTAAGTAACAAAGCCTTGAAAATGTAATACAAGATTCAATATCAATTGTTTTTGCAAAACAATTAAACAATATCAAAAATATATAGTCGGAATTTGTATATAAGCATTTGAAAATGTAAGTTCATATGTCGACACAATTCATTAAAATCACTAGAACTTGTAAATTATTTTGTAAGTTAGAAATTCCAAATGTATTCGCTAATACTCGAAAATTGAATGTAACGTTTCTTATAAGTTTATCTAACATTATTTTTAAAATTAAAAAAGAGGCAATATTTATATTACAGACTTATATTAAACCATACTTTAAACAATATTATACTTCTAAAGTACTAACCTATATATTCTTGAAGTGTAAACGCATACAAGTTAGCCATAACTATCTATTGACGAAGTACCTCCACTGGGAGGTCTTTTCACTATGTGTTTCCTGTGTGTACCTATACTAATATTATATAAAATCAACTTATTTTTCTATTGCTGTCACAAATTTCCCGATAAAAAGTTATGTTAAAAAAATATATTTATATTATTAATACCATTTTACGTTACACGGAATTGACTTATAAGTTATTTAATAATTATAATCGATGTTTTGTTATAATAATATATGCAATATCTTTTGCAAAATGTTGTTTAACTAATACTAATAAATACCTAATACCAATATAATAAAATTAGAAAATAACCTTAGAAATAGAGATTATGATACCGTCTCCGCTTAGAACCGTTTTTCCTATGTAACAATGTATTATTGTTTTCAAATTTAAGATTTAACACATCCATTACAGTTACCTATATTCAATGACAAAGTACACTACGGAAATCGACTATACAGCATAGAGACTTGCCCAGTTTTTTTTTTAACTTGACCTTTGACAATATGGCTGCAGGTTATAATATTAAAACAAGATTTACATACTATTATAGTATTATTATTAATTATGTTTTAAGTATAGATATCATAATGTATTGTGTATTATGTACAAAATATAGCTTAATATGTTTTAAAAAAATGATATAGTTTTAACAAATGTGAATCATAAAAATTAAATAACAGGTTAAAAGTAGTAACTATTTATAGAAGGAAGTAGGCATGCGGTTGGTAGTAGGCAGTTCTAAATGAATAGTAGTTTTATATCTAAATATTCCGAAGTGTATTTAATTCTACTTCTAATTATTTATAATTTTTTTCATAAAAACGTAGGTATAGGTTGGTACATTCATTAGGAATGTTAATTGTTCAAATAGTTCAAAATAACCATATAAGAATGTATATTTAATGTGTCAAATGTTGTTTTTTAGGAAAAGATATTTTCCGTTTGTATAGTTTAGGTTTCATAGCTTGTCGGTTTACAAATTACAAATCTTAGAAAATAAAATGACATCTGTGAAGTATTGATACTTATTTCAGCTTCTATGTAGGAGCTGCCGACAGGTGGTTGTTTATATTTTATACGTCTTGTACCAATTATTAATATATTGTGCAACAAAGACTTGTATATATCTATTTGTTTTCCGGTAATATGTTTAGAAGCAGGTAATTTTTATATCAGAGAATTAAATATTATTCAAACGAACAGATTCGCATATTATTACGATGTCTGCAATACAGTTAAATTATGTATATATGATTTAAAAATCAACCATATTATGATTATTGATTATCTACCCAAAATAATAAAGCTCGTTAAAAAATTTCAGTTTCTGATTGGAACGCGTGGACACAATATAGTTAATTTGATCGTGGATTTATTCTAGGTATATTATTAAATTATAATATAGCCGAACGGAGAGAGTCGAAGACACTGTGGTGAACGCAATTAACTGATTCTCCTACCCACTACGTGGAGTCGGTTTGCATGTGTGCTACAAGGTCTGACGAGTATATTCGTTGGTAACAAAAAATTATACATTACGTAGGTACAACTACGTTGGTATGTCGGGGATTCCATTTACAGTGAGACAACTCGAATACTATTTCCTCTCGGTGTGCAGCATAATAAAATATACGCATATACTCGGCACGCGTAAATCGATGCACGTGCAGATATATTATAAAAGATATTGTTACACGGGATATTTAGGAATAATAAACTGCAGCAGGATATGCAACAGTGGTGCACTGGTGCAACAGGAGATTTATTGGTGAGTGGGGGGGGGTCATAATATATACCTATTATAATATTATGATTACGACGATATTGAATTTACTTTGTTGCAATAGTAAATGTTACCGAACGAGATGTACCTATCGTTCGAAACGAATACTCAAATATCGTATATATGGGTCAAGGGGAGGGGAGGATTTGGAACATATCCCATCGGGGGCAAAGAGTACGGAATATGATCGATGAAAATCATGGATGTATTCTATGAAGATACAGAAAGGTGATGGCTCATCGACAAAATTATATATACGATTTAAAATATGTATATAGAAAAATCGCTATTTACTTCACGAGGACCTGCGACGGTGTTGTACGATGGTAGGTGGTCGGTGGTGTATGGCCCGTTGCAGCACGAAGAACCGCCGCCCGAAGTGGCAGTGCCAAGCGAAAGCGTAGGGCCACCGGTCGCGTCGACAACGTCTTCGCGCCAAGCCGCGATCGTCGTCGAACGGGCCTGCGCAACGGTCTGGCCGCGCCTGGCCGCGACAGTGGTGAACAGCGTGCAACAGACGACAGCGGCGGTGCAGGCGAACATGACGGCGAGCGAGATGAACAACTTTAATGCGATGCTAGCGTGTTGCGTTGCGCGAGTGAAGCGCGTACAGGTGCGGCCGGTGTCGCTAGCGTTCTGTCGCCGTGACGGCGGCGTGCGTATGACTGTGGATGGCCGCGAACCGAGGACGATATAATATTATAAGCATTGGTTAGCCACCACCACAATCATCGCGGTTGTTGCAGGTGAACAACAGGTGAGTGCCGTGGTCGTTCCTCTACTCTTATCCGCTATCGGTGTATCCGCAGCGACCGCCGAGCGTGACTCATCTAGCGTTCAGCGCCTGATGATAGTACAACAACAATAAAAATAATAATAATAATAATAATAATAATAATAACAATAGTAATAATAATGCTGTGTTTCGTGTGGGTATGGATAATATTATTATTATAGACACCGCCGCTGCATACATTCTTCTGTGTCTATCGTAAGTTGGTAGGTTGCAGTTTGCAGTAGGTATACGACAAATAAATAATATTACGCTGTCGTTATATAATTATATCGCACGTGCTCTAAAACTACAGTCTACACCATTGTAATACAGCTGATGTAATCCTGGAGGTAAATTTACCCGGTAAAAGTTTACGGACATTTTATATTGCCCGAGAAAATACAAAGTGACCCATACCTTAATAGTTAATAATCTTAATATTTACTAGACTGATAGTTTATAATACACCAAAAATAGCTTTTAATACATGAATATGTAATTAGGTCTATAAGGACAATACAAATCGGCGCAACCCATTTATCGCCCATTTGCATCCCAAATCCTACAGTTCATAATATGCCTCCCGATTTTAATCGTTTAAAATTATGCCATATATTGTGTAACTTTAAAATCTAAGATAATATTTTATCGTTGCTCGTAGTAGTCAAAATATGGTAAAATCCAAATCAATAAAGAAAAATGTATCATTATTCATTTGTTATTTCTGCATTAGTAGATATTTAGTTGCATCATCACATAAGTTGTGAGTACTTACTAATAGGTACGTGATAGTGAAATTTAATAAAACCATTCAAAGTAAGTGTAGTTTGTCGTTATTTGAAATATCATGTGAGTAGAAATATTGTTCTTGGAGGTATTACCAGTTGACGTCGTGTTAAAAAAAACTTAATTTATATTGTATATTTTTATGTCAAAACCAATAATAGTGAATAATATGAATACAAAAGTGCAGTGTTTTAATGTTTATTATTGATGTTGATTTTATATAAAAATGGTACTGATCTGATCATTTTTTAAAGCTTCGACAGCTGAAATCTGTTACTATTCAGCCATGCAGGGGCAGAGTGCGGTTGGTTGGACACTCGTATGTGTAGCAAGGATTTGTCACTAAAAACCCGGGTTGTCACCCATCCGGCCATCCGGGAACTAGTGACCCCGGGCAGTGCGTACACTCAGAAGACGTTTCGAGGCTGAATGCAAACACCAAGCTACTATCTGATCATTTTATTAAGTATTATTGTGGATTTTATAAAATATTATTGTGAATTTTATACAAAATAAAAATAAATCACATGGAAAGATTAGAACATAAGACCTTTATTGTGGTTAATATTTATATTTAAAAACTTATAAATATTAGGTACAATACTCGGAAGGTACAATAACAGTTTTGATTATTTTTGTCACAAAACAAAAAGTTTGGTTTACTCTAGACAGACTAGGTTCTAGTGCCTATAGTCTAGTATATTATTATCGGCATTTATAAAAAAAATCCAATGCTAGTAAATCCCTGATATATGCCCTGGTTTTATATAATATTTCGATATTCAACTTTTTTTACAATGCTAATATTCGAATGTTACACAATTATATGAACATATTATCATGCATTCATGCGATGCAGTTAAGCTACAACCACATCCGACCATAGGCTCAAGTAGGGGGGCTTTAAGGGATAAGCCCCCCAAAAATGTCCATAGCCCCCCAAACATTTCCTACATTGTGTTTTAAGCTTATTTAATATTATCAAAGTAGGGCTTTAGCCGGCCCCCCCCCCCAAAAACAAATCCCATTTGCTATTTGAGCTATGCGTCTGACGCAATTTAACTGGTTTCAAAAGTAACTCTCACTTATCGTTATCAATATCCATAACTTCTCCCATACACACGCACACACACAATACGTAGTGCACACACGTCACGAAATTGTCTATACATAACCCCTTAAAAAATTACTGTTCTGTTTCTATAAACTGACCAATAATAAAATCGGGATTGAACAGTATTGAACACACTATAATAACGATAATATTGGTACTGCACGGTTTTAGAGTGCGTTGAGTTTGTTGCTGTTTGTTTTCCGAAGGAAATTTGGGTTACAGCTTTAATATTTTTATTTTTTATACGTTATAGTAGGTACCTGGTACATATAACTAGAGATGTGGAATTTACCGGTAAATATTTTTTGGTAAATTTACGTACAATTGGTAATTGGTAAAATGTGTAAAAAAAAAGATTTGTATGTGTAATTTTTATTCAATTTTCAAATAAAGCTTAAGTTTCCAATTCCTTACCTTCTCAAAACTTTTTTATGAAGTGCGTATGTATATAAGATGAATATTTTTTTCCATTTTTACTATCTTCACTATAGGAATAGTATTCATTTACGGCTATTATGCAATTATGCACTAAAATACAGTGTCTTCACTTATAGTCGTATAGGCTACTCTGGGTACCTAAATAAAAGTTATTACACTAGTAAAAACATTAAAAATGAGGGGTCACTCAATTTTATGAACGGTAAAATGTACGTACATTTACAACTGAGCTCACATCTCTATCTATAACGAACATAATTTGTACCGTTACAATGCCTAGTGTCTACGAATACAATACTATAGGTAGTGTGTACCTATAATATAAGTTTGGTAAATTTAAAATTATAAAAGATAAATCAGATCTCTATCACATGATTATTTAAATTAATTTTTTAGTAAGCTTATCCTAGTTCACGTTCCACATAATAAGTACGATGAGGTTTTGTTAAATTCATTCTCTGCGTAATAAATTGTTTGTGTTTATCTATAATAAGCTTTACACCTAAAATATATACTTTGCAACTTTTTAATTAAGCCTTAAACAGATAATTTGAAAAATGTAAATTTAACTGCAAATGTAACTGTCAAATCCTGAAATACATTCCTGAGTTACACTCATTGGCATGTGCAAGTTGTTGAATTCCACAGTCTTAACCCATACTCATCATTACACTCTTGGCGATCTTCTTCATTTGTACACATACATCGACATTCGTCGGAATTATATACTTGTAAAGGTGCGCAATTCTGTAAAAAATGTAATAATAAAAAATGTATTATTCTAAAAATGAAAGGAAAATTATATAAATCGCACTTCTTCTTCAGTGATACAATCGCACTGGCACGTTAAATGTTGGTCTACTGACACCGATTTTCGACCTTTAAATTCTAATTTCCCCGATCCGCTGTATTGTAAGACAATTACCTAAAAATGAACTCTTTGTAACTTAACAGACTAAACAAAAGTTTCTGATTTACAGTTATACACATACTTCGAAGTTGAGGGTTTCGGTTTTGGTGGGTCGACATGCCAATAAATCGTGGCTGCAGCAACCTCCACATCGATTCACTCGGGTACACATTGGATAATAATATAAACTTTTATCGTCAATATCTTTGAGGCTGATCATTGAAGTTCAACCGAACAGCTTGCCGCTTTAGGTATCAACGTTGCTTTCTAAACATACAAATTACTTATAATATTTTTTACGTGTAGTACATAATTGTAACTTGTATACTGTATTACTTTTTTGGGGTATGTACAAATTATAAACTTACTTATTTCTGGGTCTCGTGCATTGACGATCTACAAACACAAGAGGGGCAATGTATATTTGTTTATTTTGTTTTAATTAATATATTATTAATTTTTATTGGTTAAAATTAATCAATTCAATAAAAATAAAAAATTTTTATTATCTTGGTAGTACCCTCTTAACATTTTACATTTTTTATTGAGAAAATTCAACTCTTTTATTAGATTTTATAAAATTAGGTAACCTACTTTGGAACCTGTAGTGGCGAAAAGTTTTGAGCATCATTCATATTTGTGTCTGGCATGAATTTCTAAATAGTTCTTGAAAAATTTTTGCACTTGGTTTAATTCCATTATGACCTTAGAGGAATCTAAAAACAAGATTAAAATTAATAAGTCATACATGTATGATGTACCTATATTGTATGTTATTTGTTATAACATTTTTATTTTATTATTGGATAACCCGCGGCAACAGGCCAGTGTGTTGTGGGGAAGAGAACTGTAGGTTTTTAGATTGAGCCAGGTTGGTACCCTTGTGTGTTGTGTTTTGGCCGAATTTCTAATGGGGCACCCGTAGGTTCTGCATGCCACGGGGATGGCTGGCACTTGTTCTCCGGACACCGTGACGTGCCCGAAGAAAAATGCGCCCGTGACCAGCAACCGACGGCGACGCCTTAGAATGCTCGGCCACTCCGTCCCCCTATCAAAAAAATTATTTCCATTAAATTCACTTATACACTCCGTCCCCCTCTATACATTTTTGTTTTGATAAAAATAAGTAGTATATAAATATAAGTTTAGAACGGAATTAATGTACACATAATACAGATAATATTATTATACTATCATTTCAAAATAATTAACAATAATTTATATTTTATTTAATGTGTATTTAATGGAATTAAAAAAAAAAAACAATTTAATCGACACTGGTACCTAAGTACTTATAATATTTTTAACTAAATCTAATAAACTATCTAGTAAATGGATTCTGGAGATAGGAATAAATAAATTTATTAATATCAAAGAAAAATATTGTATTAAAGCACACATGAATTCCAGTTTGAACATTCATTTCTTGCTTATTGTGTTTATTGTCATAAAATCGATTGGTTTTAATCATAGACCTATTAACAGATTAATAAGTTAATAGGTTAATAGGTCTATGGTTTTAATCATTTATTTGACCTTATATCAATTATTTTTTTTTAGATTAAAAGTGTCTAATATTAAGAGTTTTTTTTTTCAATATTATCTTCATATTATCTATCTCACAGTAAACACAGACATTAAGATACCAAACAATTGTTTTGTGTCTACTTAGTAACTATTATGTACTAACTTATTGTGTTTATGCGAATGTACCTCCCTCTTAACATAGTATTGTCATGAAAGTGCAGATTTAGTACGTTTTTAATGTCAATATTGTTATTTAGCTCTTGGATTTAAACTAATATGTACACAGAATATTGTAGTTAATTTAACACGATCACATTTAGATCCTATATAATATTAGAATATGTGTACAGTACATTGTTGTAAAATGGCAAAAGTTAGAGATAGTTACTGACTTGTATAACCTGTAAAAATATTGCTCCTGTAAAGAGAATTTGTCAAGGGCAATATGATTATATTTCTGTTTTTAACTTGTCGTTCTATTCTATCGTTCTTGTGTGGACTTCCTACTTAAAATAGGTATACAACAGGCCTACTGGTTATTATAGCATTATACAATATATATCATTCATGTTGTTGGAATTAGAAATTATTACAGTAATTTTAGTAAATAAAAGATAGTAATAAAATAAATTACTGAAGTATCATAATTCTACAGTGTCACGACTTGAAAATATTTTATGACAGTTTTAGAGGGGTGGAGCTTACAGTAAAATAATAATACAACATAATATTTTTAAATTATATTAATATACTTTAATAGTGTCTGTGACCTGCGGGTTACAAAAAACTAGTTATGTCATTTATAATTATCTATGGATACTTGGTAGCAAATTAATTGCTAAATTATTTCTATTAATTTATAATTTTTAATTTATCTTCTACATCGGTATATTTTAGTTATGCGATAAGCAGACCGCATCTCGAATCCGCTGACCGTCACCGACAGTAAGTGCAGCAATACTGCATATAGTGACTGACTATATGTGTACTATATTATTTGGGTACAAAAAAACGCTTTTTCTCATCAAACAATCGATGATTCAATGATAATATATATATAACCGTCATCCCCCACCTGAGCATGGCAGATACTTACGGGTGCCCACTTCAATAATTCTGCCAAAACACACACACGTAGGTATCTGCCATGCCAAGGTGGGAGATGTCGCCATGTCGGCCTCTCTCTCCGGACACCGTGACTGCCAGAAGAAAAATTCCACCCGTGGCCGAGTTCGAACCGGCGACGGTGCGAGTCGCAACCTACGCCTTAGTCAGCTCGGCCACTCCGTCCCCCATTAAACATAATATATTTGGCATTTATTTTATTATTTCCAGCGGTTATAAATGAAAATTGCATTAAACACATATTATGCATAAATCCAATTTTTGACTTACTCTAACTGGGTCAGTTTTGAAAATAGAAAAAAACTTTTTGTACAATAAATGTTTAAAAAAAAATACTCTACTCGAATCTGCATAAAAAAAACTGGGGTTACCATTTTAAAAAAGTAAGTCAAATTGCGCATGCGAGTACCGAGTGAGCTAAAAATCTGAAACTGGTCTGAAAAGTGAAAATATGTATTTAAGTGCTCCTATCACCTCCCGAAAACCCCATTTCAATACAAAGACACCCATCTGAGATATTCAGTGGTATCTAATATCGTGATCACACTGTATATATATACAAGTTTGTATGTAACATTATAATATCATTAGATACATACTCGATGGAACCACAATATTACATATTACAGGCACCCGACACAGGGATACGGTATACGGTATACCTAATACATTATATCATGATTATCGACGAGACGGCGCGCAAAAGAAAAACTTCAATTTACTTCCCGCGGGTTTCCAGTGTCGTCCGCGACGGTGGATTCGGTACAGGTGACGGTGGCGACGGACAGCGACCAACAGACTACTGACAGCTGAGCGTAGACGGCCAACATGATTGCGACTTATCGGTCTGCGATAAATACGGTGCGGTATGAGTCTTGTGCGTCCGTTCTGCAACCGCGATGGCGTGCGTATGAACGACGCCGAACCGGGGATACCGCATGCAGGGTGGTTACACTGTGGGCACGTTCAATCAGTTATGCGGTAACAGCGTACGGCGGAATAAACATTCCGGTATAAAAGTGTCGCATACCAACATAATCTGGTACAAAAAAAATAAATGCTAGTGGTTTTTTTTTCTTTCCGTTACCACGATCAGTTAAGAAAAAATAAAACGGTAGACATATATTTGAACTTATATGTTCAATGTTATCCATGAAAAAACGTATCATCATTCGTAAACTAATATAATATTTTGTAAATATTTAATGTTAAAATATTATTAATTATATAATAATCAATATTATAGAGCAAGGACTTAATTAATGCTCTAAAAATTAAAAATAATATTATGTGCTAAAAAAGTATAACTAAATAATTATTTTTCCACCTCGCGTCATTATCCGTAATATTATACAAAAATAAACGTAGGTACCTACGTAATAAATTAATTAACAAAATTCGTTTTGCAACATATTATTGTAAATAATAAATTGATAAGTGATAAACTTAACTACCCACAGTTCATTAAGGTAATATTCCATCGCCTTAGTATGGTCCTTTATGAAAAAATCACAGTTCACTTTTTTTACTTGATTTACGAGAAAAATATTTACCATAATGCTTGATTTTTAATAAACAGAAATAAGATTAATAGTTATCTATAACAATAAACATATAGACATATAGTCATGGATAAATAACTAACAATAATTTTTTTTCTTACTTGACTATTAATGTTCTGAAAACCTCATTATACGGTTTTGCCTCTCGTACGGTACTACCCTGCCTTTCACTACATATTATATACACAACTACAATATATTTACATTGAAGTATTTTCAGTGACCCCCACGGCCCCGCCGTCGCTGATTCGAACCTCGGTCCCGGGGGGCATTTCTCTTCAGGCAGTCACGGTGTCTGGAGAGAGAGGCCAATATCCCCTACCGCCCCCCCCCCCAAAAAAAAACCCTACAGTACCATCCTACAGCTAATGGCTTCAGTTGCCGGGCTTAAGACCAATAAAAAAAAAAAGTATTTTCAATGTTTTACACCATAATTTTAGCTATAAAAATTGAAAAGTGTGAATTTTTACTACCAAATAATTTTTAAAATTTAACAATTTTGACGATTAAAATTTTAACCTTAAAGTTTATACATATGAAAAAGTAGTTTCTTTACGTTTTTGATAGTTCTATATTTTTATAAGTACAACAAATGAGGACTTTTGTAGTTTGTATAAAGTTTTCAAGCTTTTTAATCAAGCTTAATATTTTGTTATCGACACAATACAAAAAAGAAAATAAAAAATTGGAAATTTCAAATGTCTATAAATAGCATAAAAATAGCTAAAATATGTTTAAAATGTTATCAAGTCTTTAAAATGCTAATATATATTATGTCTGGTGAAAATTAAAATCTTATGTTTATTTTTGAATTAAAACGAAAAATCAAAATTGATTTTTTTGAAAACTGCAGGTAATTTAAGTAATAAGTGTAAATATTATTATTTTTCTATAACTATTTTTTGGTTTTTTGCAGTGATTTTGAAAATTATTTGGATGAAACTTAAAAACTAAACTTAAAAAACACATAAAACCAATACATATATATCATTGGGGTCAGAATCTAAAACAGTGTTGGATTCCTTGGGGATTCCAGTCTTTTCTAAAATTAAAATATCAAATCACTATATATTATAGGAGGTAAAAACACATACAACAATTTGTTTCCGTTGCTTTTTATATATTTATGATCTATCTGCTATTAGTTTTGGTTCAAATTCTGAGCTCCAATAATTAAAATAATTTGAAAAAATCATTAACAAAAATTATTATTTTACAAATATTTTCGTTAAACACATTTTAAATCACAAATTAACTGACAATTGTTTATAAATTACATTCGTCTTTAGAAATAAACTAGCATTTTACTGTAAGCAAGAACAGTTAAACAACATTTCAATATAATAATATTATAATAGTCTTAAATAATAGTGTAAATATAATATAAATAACGGAACGATCAGTGCTCTATGTATATTGTATAATATACATAATTGGTACTTTTTTTCTGATAATTGAGCTCATGACACTACTAATGAATATTTGTTTCTGTTCAATTGAGTACCACCAGTATTTTTTGTTCTTATTCTTATGGGTTCACACCTGAAATATTAACCATTATAATATAAGAATTTATTTCTGCAGCAGTAGAATATTTATTTAAACTGTTGAATAATCACCCGCAAGTATAATTGTCAAATCCATATCCCGAAGTACATTCTTTGATTTCACGACATTCGCACTTGCATGTCGCCGAGTTCCATTGCTTTAAATCGTGTTCGTCGTTACACTTCTCTTCTTCATCTTCGTTGCTGCACTTACAGAGACATTCTTTGGCATTATATATCTGCAACGGGCCACAGTTCTGTAAAAAGAAATAATAGAAACATACGTGGATATTAGAAACAATAATAATTATATAAATAAAAGAAAAACTTATTATTAATCTCACTTCTTCTTTAATGACGCATCCACACTTGCACTTCAAATGTCGGTCGATTGCCACCGTTTTTCTACCTTTGAATTCTAATTTCCCTTCTCCGTTATACTGCGACACCAATACCTATAAAACATTTTACGACAGTAAATTGAGTAACGACTCTTAAAAGTTTCAAATAATAAGGGTTATTTTATAGGAAGTACATACTTCGAAGTGGAGTGTCTCGATTTTAGTTGGTTGACAGGCCAATAAGTCGTGACTGCAACATCCTCCGCATCGGTCTACTCGTGTGCACGAAGGGAAATAATACAAACTTCGATCGTCGGTGTCTTTTAGGCTAATCGTTTGACTTCCAACAGAACAACTTGCCGGCTTAGGTATAAACGCTGCTTCTACATAATGTACAGACGTCATTTTTAATTTTATATATTATATAATATATATTTTATTTATTTAATCAATTATTTTAAGTATTATATATTTCTTTTGATATTGAACTAGACATCATACTTCTTTCCAAGTTTATCACAGTACGACCTGAAACAAAAAAAAAATATTTTACAACTACTAGGGTAAAAGGTAAAAAGGTAAAAAGGTAGAAAAACTTAAGAGGAATCTTGTGTTAAATTTTCAAATCTGAGATTAAAAAAGAAAATTTTTTAGGAATTTCTAACTTCAAATAATTTGCACATTTTCGTTATTTTTAAGTCTTTTGTCAAAATTCAAACTTTAAATGCTTATAAAAAAAATTGTGAATATGAATTTTTAATATTTTTCAATTACCATTGTAAAAATATATTAGGAGCTTTGTATTAAATTTTCAAGTTATTTGGCACAACGAATAACATTTTATTGACTTATTTATTACAACTACTTATTGTATACAAGGACACAAAAATAAAAATAAAACACGCATCATTGTAAAATCAATATATTCAACGCTCAGCTCAGAATCTAAAATAATTTCATTATATTTAATTGATCGATACTATTATTTATGTAGTTTAAGAATTCATTTTATTTTATACATTTTTAATAAGTTCGTCAACTTACTTTGAAAACCTGTTGTGATAAATCGTCTTTGAGCTTCATCCATATCAGTATCTGGCATGTATTTGTTGAATAGTTCTGAAACATTTGTTACCTGGTTCAGTTCCATTATAACATTCAATGGAATCTAAAACACAATATGTATTTTTGTATTTTTTGTAAAAAAAAAAAGTATTAAAATTATGTAATAATAAGAAGTTTTAATTTAATAAATAAACAATCAAATTCTACAGTATACAATTTCGAGATACTAGGTTATAAATTATCAGATATGGACCAAACCCAGAATACAACAAAGAAAATATTATAATTGTAAATAGGTACGAGTTAATAAAATATATTTAAATATAAATTATAAGTTTTCTAAAAAAGCAGTTCTTTTTAACAGTAATTAACTTTTAAATTAAAAATATTGTAACCATTTAATATTTTAATTATGTTAATATGAGCAATATAAAAAACCTTTATTTAAAAATAATTATAAGTCTTATTAAATAACCATGATTCATGGAGCAAAATTTGTTTTTCAAGACCAATAGAAATATATAGAAATAAAATAAACATTATTTAAATATTAAAAATATTATGTGTTGTACGAATTCGACAAAGTGCATCCTATATGGCACACTATGAGTCCAGTTGGTACGATAGTGCAAGATTAATGTAATTAAGTAAATAAAATTGTATTATCAATAAATAGGTTCTATTATTTTGCTTTTAGGTTCTAAACGAGTATACAAAACACCTATTAAAGATGATTTACTTAAATGCGTACTAGACAATATTATTATATATTGTTATAAAATCAAAATAGTAACTGATAATAACTAATTTCGTATGTCCTGCAAAAATCCTCTTCCGTTTCAGGATGCATCAAGGGCAATATGATTATTTTAAACTCGTCACTCTATATTATAACTCTTGCGCTAACTTCCTACTTAAAAAGTATCTACTATACTGCAGGCTTACTTATAATAGTTTATACTGTTTATTATTCATATCGTTCATATTATTCTAAAATATATCGTCAAAATGTACTAGAGTAAATTAAAGTTAATAAATATCATAATTATAGTTAAAAGGAAGTACATCTGATCCTATTAAACATTGTATATGTATTAAAGTTTTAGTACTACATTTTAGTTAGTGAACATATTTTTAAGAAAAAATTTAAATTTTAAATCTGCTCTTGTATATAATTACAAACAATTGTACTGCAAACAACGGACCTATGAAAGTGTCTAAGATAAACAAGAGTATACCCACCAACTTCTCACGAAATTAAAACTTTCGGGAGGGTTTAAACTTTAAATGAATAATTTTCCAGTCGGCGACTTAACTGCCCAATAAAATTTTAAACTACGTCCAAAATAGGAAATAATATATTATGTACATTCCATGCTATACTTTGTAAACATTTATTTCAAACTTCTTTTCTATTTTTATCTTATCTGGTTAAATCAGATTTTATAATATGCGGATGGAACTACCACAATTACAATTGAGTACAAAAATTATTTGATATTAAACCTAAAGTAACTGAATAAAATGTCTAACAAACGAGCAAATAACCAATATATAAAATCCATTAAAGTCATCACTCATCATTAACCATAGGACTGTGGGAACCTACCTATATAGTTAATTATATAGATGGTATAATAAAAAGCAGATCAATAGCCAATAAAATTGTAATTGCTAGGTAATTAGTTCCTTAATATTACCAAGAAACATTACCCAGGTAGTATATAACTGAAAAACATTAGTTGGTTTTTAGATCATTACAATATGTATAGTAAATTCATTATAAAATACCCAGATTTTCATACCTCATTTATATTATGATCTAGGTACTATTTACATATTATTATTTAATAGTTCGGTATAACAGTAAATTTCAATATTAGAGCCACATAGTATGTATTTTCATAATCATTTTTAATACAATGTTTAATTATTTGTGTGTATACCACAATAGTTGTTAATTAGTAAATTTGTAGATTATACAATATTTTAATTTTATTAACATATCAAGATTTCTCCATAACATTATACTCTTTTTGTCTTTTGTTTATTTAAACCCAACGCTTCGAGTGATCCGCACTTAGTATACTACGGCGATTCTGTTATCTTGAACCCGATAGGTATACCTTATATACAATACCAACGAGATATTTTAACATTTTAAGAACGAGTATTGTCAAGTGAAAACTATAGAAAAGAGCAAAAAAAGTATATTCATTATTCAACTGTTCTCGTATCGTCCGATATCATACTTATACGAACGGAGTACAAACACATATTTAAAAAATCTATTCGGACCACGCCTATACCAATGGCCAAACAACTTTCAGCTACGCGTACGAAATAATATATAGTATTTGCCACATAATATTATTATATGAATATTTGACACAAAATGGAGTTGATCCCATCGCCAAATGACCCTATTAGGACACGGGTTGGCCCTGGAACTTGGCCAACACTCATCAAACGTGTTAACAAAAAATTGCATTTCCTAAGTGCAGGGTCGGTCCAAGTATTCTTTGAGTGGGCCCATGCAGGGAATTTTTTTCTAGGGCACAATAACCTAAATTTTTTTTTTAACAACACTTTTTTTATCTGACGACGTTTTTGTTATACCGTAAAATGACCGTGTAATTTGTTATAATAAAATAATATGATGAATGGAAACGCAACACACAAGCATCGCATAGAAAAAATAAAGCACAGTATTTAAAATAATATCGTAGATACCTTGAAAATACTGCGCATTAAAAAATACATATGTAGCGACAATTATTTTCCATTGTAATATATTAAAAACGAATTAACAAAAAAGGCCGACTTTTCCAAAAATAAGATAACAGTCATTACTCGTTCAATCCTCTGCAGGATGGTCAAGCACATAATAATATTATGGGTACCTACGGTGTATATTTTGATGCTCAAAATCTTATACTATGTTACCTGTTCAAATTAATAATTATAGTAATTGCTCATAATACCATAGAACGTAGTACTAATAATGAACATAAAATAATAAATTGTTTTTATTTAGTTTGAAATTACTTATACAATGAAATTATGAGTGTGTTATGCACCTGCTGCCATTATAATAATTATTTTGAATTCCATAGCGCGTACCTACACCTAAATATACGCGACGGCACGACGCTGAGGAGCGGGTAAACAATATGCATGCCTATAGGTATCTACTTGAAATTTAAAATGTGAATTAAAATTATGAACCATTAATATTATTATTTTTGATTTCGTCAATCATGCTATTATAGAATCATGACTTCCATATTATGTGTAAATAATACTGTAATGTATGTAATGTCATTCACTGGTCACTCATCATAATATTTTAATAATTAAGAACCCAATAACAATACTATGATGTATTATTCTTATCGTGTATTATCATTTATTATCGAACAATTATTGTGTACAAACGACTAGGCAATTTTAAGTAGTAATTTTAAGTAGTTTTTTAATATTAATTTTATATTGTAATACCTACCCACGGTCTTGAACATAATTTATAAATTAACAATATGTAATGTATTGTATATTTTGAGAACAAGAATAAGTAGGTAAAATAATATATAAAATATAAATTATAGTAATTATATGTTTAAAAATTGCAGCAGAACATGATGTAGGAACGCTGAAGGTCGTTCAACAATAGGACCATCAGAGAGTGAAGGACGAAGGTCTATACTATTTTTCTATTATAAAGTTAAACTTAGTAGTCTATTTTAGTAATTTTATATTTCGCGGTCAAAGAGCAAGAGCCCTAGAATCTACCGCGCGGCTAGGGGCCTAAGCAGGGATCGCTGTCCTCCTGAAGTGGCAGGCAGGAATTTTCAAACAGTAGTACAGCACTCCTTATCCTAACCAAAATGGTTCGAATATTGTACTCATCCCGATTAATGACGTTATTAAATTACATACTAAATTACGAAACATAAAACTTAAATAGTTACCTACATATTAATGTATTATTTTATATTATTATTTTTTAAATGTAGCTATATAATTATATAGTATTATTACAAATTATAATAAATACAATAAACTTTAGGTATTAAAAATATAAATTATTCTTCCGACCGTCAACCGATATATTTTGTCAATAAATATATTTTATATAATGATCGGAACGAGTGCAATAATTTGAACATTACCTTTTTTAAACCGAGTGCAACTCATGCAATACCTTTTTCTGCACCGGGTGCAATTTGGCGAAAATAAAAGTGCAATTTGACCTAATTGTCATGCCGACTCTGATCACTTGGTCCACGATTAAATAATCACCTCCCTGTACGGGTATAGGTCATACAAAGCACAGATTTGATCAGATTTGTATCAGAACAAACAAAAAATTAAGCAAATTTTTTCCGTCTACACATACGACACTAAATCACAGGTTTCTCGTTCACATTTCACCCTCGTCTATTATTATTATATAGGTGGTACAATAATTCATTTTTTTCTGTCGTTTAAGCTCAGCACGTTACACGGCCAAACGCGCCGACGACACGCCATCGTCGGCGCGTACGAACTTAAAATATAATGTAAATAGGAAAACGCGAGTATCGTACGCGATACTGTGAAACGGGCCTTAGGACGGGCTCTTATTTACCTCTCCCAGATTCGCGGTGTCGTCAGCGACGACCTCTGTGGTTGACGAGGATTGTCCGGAGCAGCAGTGTTCACCGCCGGCAGAACTGGTGCTGTAACGCCGAACGAGGTCTCCGTCCGAGTGCACCGAACGCGCGTTGGAACCGTGTTTGGCGGCGGCGGCGGCGGCAACGAACAGCGACCAACAGCTGACGACGGCCACCAGCGTGCCGGCGATCATTGTGGTTCTCGTTCGTGGTGCCCGTGTAGCGTGTACCGAGGGTCGGCGTCGCGTCAACCGTTCTGTCGCCGAGTCGGCGTGCGTGTGACTCTGACGCGTCAGTGACGATGCAGGTGCGTTAACCGACGTTTTCCCCACCACCCGTCAGGCACCTACGGAGATTATGGGGGTCCCGTTCAGGGCCGTTTGCGACGTGACGAACTCCGTACACCGTTTTGAGCACTCAAGCAGGGGATGGCTGTGATGTTTACTGCTCTGCAGGATCGCGGCTATGATTTATGATGTCACCGGTATAGGTACCTATACTCTGACGTTAGGTAAGGTTAGGTTGGATATTAAAGTGTATTATGTGCTACTCGGGCAGTGATATCATTATGTGTACTGTATTATTATGATATCGGAACGAATTAATGAATTTTGGATCTAGATAGTAGAGGATCTCAGGGACAGATCCAAAGCAATAACGTACCAAACACAATTTTTTAAATCAGATTAACTTTAGTAGATATCAAATCCATCATGCCTGTATTGTTAAATTATCATCACTTAGAGATGGTGTGCCTAATACATACAGGTTGATTTACCAATCACCAAGTATGCCTAACCGGAGTTTTTCTTAAATAACAAATTTATTTAAATTCTGATTTTTTGAATTTTCCTGCACATGTTATGTATACTTAAGACCATATTTTCGATTATTTAGACCACCTATTATAACCACCTAAAGCAATAACAGTTGTCGTTAATACAAGCTTTTTTTTCTAAATAGAACGAACTTTTTTACTGTAAATTATTAAGTAGGTAGATGTTTGTTTTGGAAATTTTTATGTATTTAAATCAAAATTCAAACCAATAGTTTCTATAATATTGGATCTAGTATTGATTATACTTACAAATTACAAATTAAAAATTATAAACTGATGATTATTAGATATACATTTTTTAAATTACCATAGCCTCCATATCTTTCTAACCCATTAAAAAAAGGCCTTTTATCCTTAATCCACAAAGTGAATAAGGGCGATTCTCATTAAAAGATATTGTAGTTGGTATTATTATATCAGCAAAAAACATTCCAAAAATCAGAATATTTAAAAGTTCCAAAAATCAGAAATGGGGGTGAGCGAACATATGCTAAGCGAATGAATCAATCTGTATATGTAGCCATGTAGGTATACAATAAAAAAAAAAAAATACATGTATCTAATATACTTATGTCTTCTAAGTATAGGTAATTCAATTTTAAGCTATTAGATTAAATATTTTTTTTTTTTAAATTTGAGTAACTTCAGTTAGGTGTGAGCTTTCCTCTATAGGGAAGGAGTCTAAAGTCTAGGCTGTTTGCGCTTCATGGTTCCGTCTCTGAAGGGATGTCCTCAAAAAATGCAGAAATCGTTGCATAGTGAAGAATCCAAAATATATGTAATCAAGTGAATATTGCATTTTAATGTCACATAGTTGTATATTGTATTATACACATTATTTAGCCACAAGTACCAACTACCAATATTTCATTATATTATTATATATTGTTATGAACATTAAAAAAAAAAATATTAATAGTGCTTTCTAAAGTCGTAGGGTTCTTAAGTTTTCCTTCATGCTTCTGTCTGGTGTATCTTGAAAACCTGCAAGTTCCAAATTTATTTCATATATTAGGTATAATATCATGTTTATTGTAGAACGATCTTCCATAATGTAATAATTACATAATAATAATGATAATGAAAAAGAACTTATTTCTTGATTTTAAAAAATAATTATGAGCACTTACTAAGTAATATGTTTTCCGAGAAAATGTATAATATTTTACTTTTTGTAGTATAAAAAATGTAGTTGTAAAATATATTTTATGTAATTTTTGTCGTAGTTTGACACGCACCAAGCACGTAATAATCTTTTCTCGTTAATATTATTGTTTATTATCTTATATTTTTTGATATGAATTAAAACTAAACAGTCCAGGTCATTTTACAATATTTCCAAAACAAATTTTGATAATTTAATTTGTTATATTATTTTTCAAACTTAACATCAAATACCACACACCATTTTTCCTCCTTGCTTGGGATTTTTGAATCAGAAAGAGCATTTTTAATATATTATTTTCATCAAATCCTTGGAATTATAATTTATTTGTATACTTATTTTGTTATTTAAAAACTTTTGATTCATATCTTATACTTTTTTTGTAGCATATTATTATTCATTATATTTAAAATTGTCTAGTTATTATTTAGCAGTTAATTAGAAGTTGACAATTAACAGTCTTTAAATAGAAGTTAATGTTCAAGTTATGAACAACCGTACATGGTTGTCGGAAAGTACTTTTTTTGGAAAATTTCAAAAAGAAATCTTATTTTTTGCTTGATAATTTATGTTTAATCTTACATTACATAATATTCTGATATTAGTTTTCAACAATTTTATATTCACAAATTTGAAAATAAAACAAATACTAAACAATTACAAAAACATACAATTTGTTGAAGTATTAGTAATACCTATATTATGAACTCTCAATAATTATTCATACGTTTCGGCAATAATTACTGCTGGGGTATGATAAAAATCCATAATAAACATTAGTAAACATTAAAATATGAAAACTTACGTCTATAAGATAAAATAATATAATTAGCGATTGATTAATATTTATGATTATAAAAAAGTATTTAACTGACAACAATTACAATAAAATATTATGAATGTACAACAACATAATAGTTATAAATAAGAAAAAACATAAGCTTTTTGAAGTAGGTAAGTACTTAAGACCTGGCCTGTTCGGAATTGGTTCGGCCCGGACGGGTTTTGGGCTGGGCCTAATTCTATAAAATTCAAGACGAGCAGTGCCGAACCAAAAAGTTACGGGCCTGGACGGGTTTCTATGAAAAATTAGAAATTCCAGCAAGACCCATCGTTTTATACTAAATTACACGTCACTATGCTGCTGGACCAGGAGGGTATTTCTATAAAAATGTATATTGTTAAAAAAAAAGGTGGGCAAGTGGGTGTCACTCTGCTGTACAGTAGGTTACAAGTGGGTCACTGTATCATGGATGATATTAAATTTGAATTCAACGATATAATATTATTGTATAAGAAAAACGATTCTGAGCGGAGACGGTATGTCAGTCTAGGAATAAGACATATTATATACATATCTATGATATTAAACAAAAAATTGACCTATAATAGGTACCTATAATAAATTCCAAATTAATCATATCACAATATCCATTAGGTACTTATAACGCGTTATACATCAACGAAAACCGTGATACTATCATAGATATATAATAGTACACTTTAAAAGTTTCAAGTACCTACAAATAATATTATTCAATCACAAAAAAATAACTAAAATAGTTATTCTAGGTTTTTTGATATGTAATTTCGTCCAAATTTGAATTTAAAATGTCTGTAAAAAATAACTGTGTTCATATATTTTTTAGATTTTTTGGTTACAGTATGAACAATTTATGAGAACCTTTGTATTAAATTTTCTATCCTTAGCTATAAAAACTGAACATTTTATAATTTATTAATTACAATGATTGGTAATTTTCGAGATTTTGATACATTTTGTCAAAATTTCAACTTTAAATGCTTATAAAAAAAAATTGTGCCTATGAATTTTCAATGTTTTTGAACTGATATTGTAACAATATATCAGGAGTCTTGTATTACATTTTTACATTTTTTGTCCCAACAGATAAAACTTAATTGATATTTAAAGAAAAAAATTGAAAACTGAAAATGTCCGTAAACAGCTCAAAAAGAGTCAAAATATTTTCAAAATTTTATGGTGTATAGAAAATGCTAATATAACCATTCAGTGAAGTTTTCATGCATCTACAGTTATTCGTTTTTGAATTACAACAAAATAAGGAAATCGCTACATAAGAAATCGAGTGAATATCCAAAGTTGTTAAAATTTAAATTTCAAACTCTCATAAAAATTTAATTTGACTTTCTTATAGACATTTTTTTTTGATTAAGGTAGATAATCATATAAGGAGTCTTGTATTATATTTTCAAATCTTAGATTTAAAAAGAAAAATTTTTACGAATTCTTAACTCAAAATAATTTGCTAATTTTCGTGATTTTTCCATATTTTGTCAATTTTTGAACTTTTAATTCTTATAAAAAAAAATTGTGACTAAGGATTTTTAATATTTTTCATCTGCCTTTGAAACAATATACGAGGAGCCTTCTATTAAATGTTCAAGCTTACGCAACCAACAAATAAAATTTTATTGATATTTTTAGAAAAAAAACTAAAAAAAAATGGAAAATGAAAATGTCCCTAGACAGTTCAAAATAAATCAAAATATTTTGAAAATGTTATCGTGTATAGAAAATGCAAATATAAACAACCAGTGAAAATTTCATGTATATACATTCATTTGTTTTAGAGTTACACCAAAAACCAAAATCGATTTTTTGGAAAACCGACTTTGCTTTAATATTCCCGTTTTTCTTAAATTTGTATGTTGTTTTTCCCGCCGCTTTTGAAAACTATTGGGAATTTTTACTTTTGACCCTCCAAAGTACCAACTAGATTCACTTTCCTATCAGAAAAGACACTGTTGAAGAAAATCCAAGCACTTTTACTGTCCTAAAACGTGATGACAGACACAAAAAAAAAATAAATATAAAAACACACATCATTGTAAAATCAATAAATTCATCGTTTCACTCAGAATCTAAAATTATAAACAAAAAAAACATATTATATTATCAACTATAAATTATAGACACGTACAAGTGAGGTATAACGAAATTTATACTTGCTATCTTTTCTTGAATCCGGCCTTTAGAAGTCATGTAAATTAAAACAGTTAGGTATACCTCCATTATTTTATCAATTTTTTTAAAGAATAAGGTCTTTACTATTTGCAGGACAAAACTATGGGTCTATCCAGGCCAGGCTTACTTACGACAAATAGTCCCCGGGTGGGGCCAGACCTTTTTGTTTTAAATATCTATATCC